TAAACGGTAGAACAAATAATAAATTTATTACTTCTTAGTAATTCTATCCAGCGAAAAAGAAAGCGACGAATTGTTGTACGCGGTTTGGTCACTCGTTATGGTCCGCGAATCAGTTACTACCGCAAGGGGTTAATATCATTCAATCTTTCAGTGGCCACCCTATATAATAGAAAAACTCAGAGTGCACTGCACAACTCCCCCCTATACTACTTGAAACTATGTTTCCAGCGTCCATTGTCCCGCCAAAATTTTTTCCTTATTTATTTGCCCGCGAATGAAATTACCTCGCTGTTTCGCTTTCCTCGGTGGAAATATCACGAAATATTGAAAAATATTTAAATGTTAATAATAATTAAATATTAAATAATAATAATTTAATAATTTTATTTAATGATAATTAATATTTAAATATTTTAATAATTAAATATTGTTTTTGTTTTTTTTCTTACCGATTAATAGATACCTTCCCTCGTGGCACGCATATTTTCGTTACTTCTTCGGCAACTGAGATTTGCGAAATAGATTTAAGTAGAAGTGAAAGTGTTGACGGTGACGCACGTGAATCAATCGTGACATAATTCGGATCTTACATAGTGTGTTTACATAGTGTGTGACCCGTTGCGAATTGCCGAGTCCTTATTTCGTACGACGTGGAACCTGTTTCCACGAGCGTTCGCTGACACTACATACCGGGTGAGACATTTAAAAGATTGATTGCATCAAAAAAATATTTCAGACGAAAGTTTGAGCGGTTTCGAGAGAGGAGTATTGATGTAACTGATTATTCAGTTGATGCGTAAAAGGCTTTTCGAAGGTCAAGTTTGCTTTCTTGAAAAAAAATTGAAAAATATAATACGATTTTACTATTTTACGAAGAAACAAACTTGACTTTCAAACGTCTTCCATGACCAAATTACATCAATTAATGCTTCTTTCAGAATCATTTCACTTTTGTCTAAAATGTTTCTAAATACAATTAATCGTTTCGAAAATATTTCAGCTTCTAGTTTCGTGGATGACTCACCCTATATATAATAAAAGTTACCAAAAATTGTCAAATAAAATTAATTTAAGTTCAACTAGAGTAATACCCGAGACGAAATTCGAAACATTCGCCAAATAGCGCCGATTGAATTGAAAAATATACGATTTAAAAAAAGAAAAAAACAAACTTAACCTCCAAACGCCTTCTATGCATCAACGTAAAAAAATAATAATTATATTAATTGACGCTTCTCTCGAAATCGTTCAACTTTCGTCTAAACATAATTAATTACATGTTAAACATTTTTATATATAATTAATTGCTAATAAAACACTTTCATATCCAATTAAGTTTCGAAAATATTTCAGCTCCTGGTCTTATAAATAACTCACCGTGTATGCTGTACCGACAAGCGTATAAGAGAACGTCAGGCGTAATTTGCTTGGAAAGCTCGATACGCAAACGAGCCCCGGAATCGATAATAAATTACGATGGATCGCGTGGGAAACACGTTGAAGAATGAAAGAAGCTTGGAGAGACTCGGCGGCACCTGACACTGCCCCCCATATATTCCTCGATGTTTACTTGTATTTCCTGCAGTTTTCTAACGACACTTTCGCCGACCTTCCGCTTCCTTGAACTTCGTTTTTCTAGTTTTAGCCGGCCGAGAGCGATTGAACGACTAACCTGGCAGCGACACTGTATCGCGTTTAATTCCCTAATGGCAAGAATACGAAGAAACGACTAAGCTAATAT